CTCTTATAAACACCTGTATTTAACATGCCTTCTCCTGTAGAAGTACAGAAAATATATCAAAGAGGTAATGGATTCATATATATTCAATCTAACTGTCAATAATGATACTGAGTTGAATTTCAGAAAGACGGCTTTGTGTGCTGTAAAGAGCGAAAGTATTTATTTTTAGTCATACACGCTATAGCTTGCGTCAGTTTAAACACTGTTAGATATTTATATATTTTGTTTACTAATAAAAGTTACGATAATAATGTTAATTATACCATTAAAACCGCAGGCCTTATAAACATTTCAAGTTATAATTATTTATCGTGCAAGAAAAGTAATACTTCTATTTAAATATTCATTCCATGACGCCGTCGCTACTTTTAGTTTGAAAAACAAACATGACGTCAAGAAAAACGCGGTAGGCCAACTAAGTTTTGACATGGATGGCATACGTCTTACTCTTAAAGATACTTATCTTTAAAATGTTATCAAAATCAACCATATTCTCTGTAATGACACATAATTTTACATATCGATCTTTTATTAATAATCGTATTCACAACCTCGTTGTGTAAGATTTCCGGGGACATGTGTGTCAATATACTGATTACACAACTCCGCCATTAATATTCATGAAAAGACTGAATTCTTAATCAGATATTGCTGAATTGGTTTGTTATTGCAACGACTTCTTTTGTAAAGTTTTGTGGAAAGAATTATTATTTTTATTTATTTATACGACCTGTAAATATTTAAAAATACAAAATAAAAACATTGTGTAGAAGGATACGGAGATAACGAACAATATCAAAGCCTATAAAACAAAACAATTTTGGAGCAGAGCAAACACGGACCTTCGAAACATCAGGTGCCATGGAGGAGTGAGCATCCCCTGCTGACCGGTCACTTCTGCTCCTTGAAATGATCGAGAAATAACGAGAAAATCCGTCGTTAATTCAATAAAAAAAAAAAACATTTTAGTTCATTTTCCATTCTTTCTTATGTGACGATAAATCTTTGTTGGGTTTGTTTCACTTAAGAGTTTAATTTAAAAAAAATGTTTTTTTTTATATTGGTCACTGGAAAATGAATTTTTGAAAAAAAGGATCTGGTAGAGATTGCGTGTTTAAAATGTATAAAATGTAATACGCAGCAAATCATTTAGAGATGTAAGAAGGCAAGAAATAATGTACCTATAACTGTTAACAAAAATTTGATTTCCATTTAACAGTTTACAAATTACTGAAATTTAAGGTCAGGTTTGCGTCTCCCTCCAACTTTTATTTTTTTTAATATGCACACATACTATATATCAATTTATTCAGGGAGATAAGCTTCATCATTTAATATGATTTTCAAAGATATTGCCCGTCCCATTTTTTCAATAAAAGACGCCAAATTTAACGTATTTCATATTCCACCTCGAATATTATTTTCATTGAAAAAATTGATTCATTTTATAAATTATCAAACTTTTTAAACTAAAATGACCTGAATAAGTATAATTCATGCTTCTATTATTTAAACTTTTAATTTTCCGTTATCAAAAATGTGAAAATTTGGGTAAAAAAGAAGATTTTTCAATTTTTCTCGATTAAGTGAAACCGTTGCCATGGCAACAAAAATATAAAAATCAACGTTTTACATATCTACCGATTCCACCAAAATCCATGGAGTTATTAATTTGATCATTTTCATTAATTTGAACTAAAAAAATAAGCATGTCCCCAATATTATTTCCATGAAACAGGGGCTATATTATGGGTTCGGAACATGAAATTCAGGCTTTTTCTACACTTTTAAAGACAACATTTATATCACCTTGTCATGGTGAACGTTAAAGACTAAATGTTATTTTTGATATTGTTTTTAGGCATAAATTTGCCAAAAATATTCAAAATAAAACTCTTCCTGTGCTACAAGATAGTCTAAAAATTTATTCCATGGAAGAACTCTAGTATTTATGGCAATCTTTATATATGAATATTCTGATGAAATTGTCCATGAATTACACTGCAACACCTTTAGAAGTACATGTATATGTATATAAACATACTTCAGAACATGTTGCAACTAAACCAATTAAAAGCCCATGAATTTGACATGCTGATTTAGTTATTCCAACATGTAGTAACTTCTAGACACCTTTGTAGCAAAATATCTTTATTCAGTTATGGCTGGTGACTGTCATAGTACAATGTACATGTATACCATTTTTTGAGTTAAATGTTGTAAGCATTGCATCCAGGAAGCTGCTGTTTTTATAATTAAATGATTTCTTTACTTGGAATAGCAGAAATGCTATCTTTAAAGTAATGTTTGTTTGCCCTGTCTTGACTCAGGGTAAAATTGTTGGGTCGGTAGGTGAGAAAATCTTCAACAACATTTTTTTAGGGGGGATAAGAGGAATAAAAAGAAAAAAAAATACCACCCTGCATTGAAAAAAAGTTTTCAGTCTGGTCATTTTAGTCAGTCGGTCTGGTGAGGTCGACAATCAAACATTTTTTAAAGATGGCCTATTTCTACACTTCATGGACATTAGCTCAATCATTGGATTAGGTAGTCTGAGAATCTAAATTGAAATATCAGACAGAACAAAATAAAGATGAATTCTAAGTGACATCAATTCATACTTTAATGAGTTTACAGAGTACTTTTGATTTCAGAGAAAAGGCAAATTCTGCAAAATGACATAACACTGTCATAAATATTTGTCAAGAACAGGGAAAAAGAAACAATGCTACAGTGATAGATAAATCTCCTTGATATTCATGAAATAATAATTTAAATGTAACAAAATTTTCTCCTTTTTAAAATCAAAATACAGAAAAAAAATAAAAGATTATAAATGTAAACAATTTCAAAATAAACTACATGTATTTGTGAAAGATTTTAATTTTAGTAGAGTACTAAATTAGTCTTATCATTCCTACTAAAATAACAACCTTACAATTTCCAAGTGTCATGTTTTAAACTGTTACAGTAGATATAATTATACATATTCATTTCACTGCAGCTTTATGTACAAAACTCATCAGTTTTCACTAATATACTTAATTGAGCATATTAGGTCCTGGTAAGGACAAAATTTAATGAATAAAAATATTAATCTTAATTGTTCATGTATTAATTTCCTTGCAATTTTACCCTTTTAAGAAACTTGTTACATGTATGTAAGTATAGACAAAAGCAACCTTCAATTAATACCTATGATGTATACATTTATTTTACTGAAAACAAATTCAAAGATGACCAACAGAGTATGCACTGCAATCATCACACACACATATTTTCTAAATATATGGAAAACAGCATGTATATTTTAAATAAGGATGTTGTTAAACATTAAATTTTCTTCTATAATCTATAGACATATAAAAATATGCATTGGGTATAACAAGTCAGAAGTTCTCCAAATCTCCATTGATTTTGCCATGTCTGGTTAAACATCTTAGCTTGATCCATCCAACTGTCTTTAATATTTTTGAGCTGGTATGGGATGACCTCTACTTTGATTGATGGCACAGATCTTTTAAGGAAACACTGAAGTACTTTTTTTTGTTCTTATCTATTCCAATTAATGACCCATGATCTGAAATCATATATGTGTTCATTTTTACAATAACATTTAAGGAATTGCATTTTTGGAATTGCATAAGGAATTGCACTGAGTTTCATTCACTCAATGAAATGAATAAATTTCCAATATAATCAATGAAGAATCAAATGAATATGAAATTATTGTAAAATTTACAGATTGAATTAGTGAAATGCAAATGCTTGATCAAGAAATTTTCTTATCATGCACATTTATATGTATCTCTTTTTTATTAATTACAAAATGAGATATTAATCAAAATCAAACCTCATTTAAAAAGGTAACTTGAACAATTGAATACCTGTTCAAATAATGTTACAAATATTAGGCCTAAAAAGCAAGGATTAATATTTTATTTTTCATAATTTCTTGAATGAATGCATTTTTATTTTTTGGCAATGTTGGGATATTAGTCACATCCTGACACCTTTGTATGTTTATTTCATCGTTTTTAAGTCCGTAGTCAGTAGATCATTCATAATTTTCAGTAAAAATGAATAGTTAAATAATTACCTGATGAAAATACTATCAACAATCAAACTGTCAACATCATCATTGGACATGGTCAAATGCATCGTGACTTTTCTTCCCTGTTCGGACTGCAAAATACTTTACAGGATACTCTCAGGTCTTTTCTTTTTTCTTTCCAATTCTCACTTAAAATTTTAGTGTAGTGGTGAAGCGAGAAACACACGACACTCGACAGCACAATGCGTCAATGACTTTCTCCTGATCGGAATAGCCGTGTAACTTGCCTCGTTCCGTATCGAAAATAAACAAGTCCTCCTTAATTGGTTCATCCACATGCATCACGCTAATCCAAAAGGCTTCTAAAATTCCTATGCTTTGATTTGTTATAAGACTTTCTCCTGAAAACGTCCTTTGTTTTTAGTCCTAATAAGTGACAACAAACATCAAGTAGGACAGAGGAAATTCGTTACCGAGATGCTTAGCATAGCTGGTTTAAATTCAACTGTTTCAAACGCTTTGGTGTTATCTCCCTGTAAGCGCAAACCTTACCTTAATGCAACATACACATATTTACATTAGAAATATGACGTTACCTTTTCGCCACAGGCCATTTATAGTGCAATATGTTTTTCTTAAACTTAGCATTAATACATATATCGTAATATTTTATGAAGATAATAACTTTTCCCTGTTTAATGAAAATTAAGCATATTTAAAATGGGAGGAATTCTGCATAATACCGAAGATTAAATGTTTTGATTGAGTATAGTTTATTGCAAAGTCGGCAACCTCTCAGTCAATTTTCAGCGAAAAATGCTTCTAATTGTAAAGTTAGCTACTGGATATGGTAGTTACAAATAGTTCTTATTTTAAGCATAATCTTTTTTGTTTTTAAAATACAATGAATGTAACTGCAAATGACATCATGACATATTAAAAACCTTTAATTAACATGGAATCGGAAAGGTTTACAGAATATTAGTACAAAGTTTTGTAACATTGACTTTACATACAACATCTTGCAGTTACCTAAGGTTCCCGTGGCAGGTCCTGCAAGAAAGAGTTGATATTTCTCTGTTTCATTGGAGACAGAGAATCCGTTGTACGTTTCATAAAGTGTTGCACCAGAATGGATTGTTATGGCAGCATAGAGGGATGAGTTCTTGTCTTTTGTTAACTGATGGATCACGTCATTTCCTGTATTAAGATTGAAATCAACTGTAAAGTACATTGGAATACAAATTCTGTTGATTCCTTATAATTCGCGAGGAATTAATTATCAAAGCAACACTCGCGAAATAAAAATAAAATTACTCTCTTTTATTTGTATGATGCTGAAATCCATGTAAATTGTATAAATCAAGCATCCATTCTCGAATAATATGCTCGCAATTTGACGTTAGAGAGCTGTCTCGCGATAAGAAGTACGCAAGTGAGTTAATGCTTCATATGGAGGTTTCTTTGCAAAATATTGATTAAATTCCATAATTGACCTACCTGCTGCACAAAATATGTTAAGACTTGTTTTCTAATACATTCTTGGTACCCACGACATGCGATACCCAGTACACATTATGACGTCATATTATGACGTCATCGACCTCTACTATACAAGTTTATAAGAAACATCAACAAAATCACTTCGGCGCAAGGGCAAACCTTACTTTGTTTAACAGAAACAAGGTATAAAAAGACGCAGGGTATTCCAAGGATTTAAGATATTGCTGCACAAATGTCGGCACTGCAATTGTTTCGTTACTATTGGTGCAGTTTTAAGTTTAAACAGGGTAAAAATTCACAGTCCAGTGTAAGTTTCTTAAAATTTTTATCGTTTATGAATGTGCATAGGATTTGTGCAGTAATTTTATCAATTTTAAGAATATTCTCTTTAATATTATACATTGTTTATTTCAAATTAGATAGGATATGCCCTTGCGCTGACGTGATTTTCTTGATGTGATTTATTACCTTGAATGGGAGAAAACAATGACGTCATAATATGACGTCATAATGTGCACTTACATTAATAAACTGTGGGTAATAAGTATATATAAGAAAATCTATTTAAACTTTCTCTGTACATACAATATACAACTTATGAATTTTTATTAGCTCATTTGCATAAAAATATCCATATTTAGCCTTAACTCACTTGCGTACTCGCGAAAAATGAGGAATTTACAGTATAATATATTGAATACCCTCTAGAAAAATGAAACTGACGGGTATTTCTGTTACGCTGTAGACATTGATGCAAAAGTGTTCTTTACCCTGAGTGATTTAAAATTCTCGCTCTATTTTTTATTGCCAAAAATATTACCCAGTCTCAAAATAAGATATAAGATACGCTTCCATTTCCATTATATGCTACAATTAATATACTTTATGAAACATTTAAGCGGTTGAGAGTCCATATTTAAATTAAAAGAGATGTACACTTACCAATCCAGTATTCTTGTTCAGGGGCACCAAAACCATCTTTATAATCTTTCCAGAGCCTTTGGAAATCCACGGATCCATCAACTCTTTTTTGAATTGCCTTTAAAAATTAAAAATTATAGCATTACATATTACTGTTTTCAACAATTATAAAATCTATATTTAATAATATGAGCTGAAGAATTTGTATTTTATTATTCTCTTGAACAAAAGAAATACTTCATAACTTGATGTGAATTATGTAATATAAAGTTTAACATTTGTACACACCGTCCATCCCCCGCCCATTGTCGTCATATCACAATACACGGTGACAGGAATGGTTATGGTGCGATACGGGTAAATGTCGTACACACCGGAAATAAAGTTACCATCATTACGAAGATCCTTACAGTCTAAGGGAATTGCTGTAAAAAGGGGGAAAATGCTGGAATCGTATTATGTATAAATAGAGTAATTCAAAGATACATGCGAGTTGCTTTCTGGTTAATTGTTTGAGATAAATTGTGTGGTACGATGTAGCCTAAATATGGATAGTTATGCCATTACCTGAAATTATTTTGTTTTTCTAATTGTTTTAAGTCTTTAATTTAATTTTTTATACGAATATACCGTATCAGCAGAATTTCTAGCGAGGATTTAATTTTGGCATTATAAGTGAGGAAGTTGAGATCGCTAAAATTAAATATAGCTAAAAAATAATTGCATTTGATCCGAGTTTCCTTCTATAATGAGCATTTTAAAATCACTTCAATAACATCTCGCGAAGATTAAAGTACCAATATCTAAGCACAAATCGCTAAAATAGTCTCTCACCAAAATTTCCAATTATACGGTATTAAAAGAATTGACACACGTAATCGTAATACATGTATTCTCTTGGTTTTTTGAAATTTATTTGTATTTCTTACTTGTAGGAATCTTAAGAGGAATATATTTATAAACAGAGTTTTATGAAGAGAATTGAGACCTTGAGAACATTCAAACCTTAATTTAAACAGAGACCAACTCCAGTAACGAAAATGTAAAAGTCAGCTGTCAAATGTAAAAGTAAGTTGCTTCACAAAACTCCAACAACATGATGTTTCACCTGGAGAATGGAGTGTAAACTATTTACTAGATATGTTTAAGTTCATATTTCAGAAATGTGCATTTTTAGGTCGATACAATTGTTTTCAAATACACTTGTTGTATTGAATATAGACTAACGTTTTGAACACGGATTTTAAAGCCTTAATTTTTCACATTAAATGTCCACAAACTTTTCAGTTTCCATACAAGAGACGGTGTGCGGTGGATCTGACCGTT